GGTATTTGTATCTATAGATCTGGACTGCCTCAAAAATACATTTTGTTGGAATCATGTAGGACTAGCATGTTTTTATTTATTTTTTTAATCAGATGAATGCACACATGGATATGGATGTAACCAGTTATGTTTTAAATACCATATACACTCTTAAAAATAAAGGTGCTTCACGATGCCATATGTGACCGAGTGGATAATAAGGATGGTGTACGGGGTGGGGCATAGGTATTTATTTCGCAAAGGTTGGCAGGTTGCGTAATTTCCCGACGTTTTATCCTTTCCATCTCCTTCCGGTGTTGTGACACTGAAGCGCTATAGCGAGGTATGAGCATGGCACATGCTGTAAGAGCTTGTATAAGGACGTTTTTGTTTTTGTTATGGTTTATTCTATGTTAATTGCAGAGAGATAACCCCCTGATGCAAGAGTGTGAGCGCGTTGACTGTGTGTAATATTATGCAAGTTCCGGACGCCGAGCCGTATCACGCAGGGTTTCTATTCCACTCTATTATGCAGCGTTTCTAGTCTACTTTTGGATTACGGCAGAGGTATGTGTTTGCGTTAGATGGTTAGGTTTGTTATAGTGATCATATTTATGTATAATTATTGAGTGATGTAAAGGATTGCTGAGTGGTTACAACAGGTTGTGGGTCTCTGGCCCAGTGACTTCTTTTTCTTCCCGCAGGCTTGGTTGATCTTGCATACAGGAATTGTGGGTTACAATTTTAATATTTGACTTGGGAGTCTAGACATCTTAAAATTGAGTTTATCTCTTTTTAGATGGTTATAAATGTGAAGTTAATCGCTTACTCAGAGCTTTCAGTACTGATTGTTAATAAAAGTGTTGTCCTTGAAGGTCACGTCTCTGTTCTTCATCTGAATGGTTCTTTGTGGAACCAAAAATGGTTCTTCTATGGCATCGCTTGAAGAACCTTTTGAAGCACCTTTATTTTTAAGAGTGTAGGCTATACAAATGTAACCAAGAAAAACAAAACACAAAGACACCTCAGATGAACAGCTTTTTTTTTTATTAGTTACTGGTTTTTGTGGACATGTTACAAAGATTTCACATTATATTAGTTCTTGTTTCTCTGCACTCTCTTTTCAAAAGGTTCATTCCTTGGCCTCTTTACCCTGTAAACAAATGAAAATAATCAAATAATAAAGTGAAGCATTATCGAAATGAGCACAATACTGTACTTTTTAATAATGTTTAATATTGTAGATTTTGTTTACAAGGTTTAGCCTATGCATGCACATTTTTTGTATGGATAACAAATTGCTTGAGCACAAATAAAGAACTAAATAAAAGTGTGTTATTTACCCTCCCGAATTCACGGCTTTTAGCTCTCAGCTTGTTGACCTGGGACTCAGCAATGTCAGCTCTCTCCTGGGCTTCCTCCAGCTCATGCTGCACCTTTCTGAACCGGGTCAGGTGACTGTTGGCCTGTTCCTCCTGTCAATGAAATAACACTTGTTTAGGGTCATCATATCCAGAATATTGTTGCACACCACTCATCAAACTTTAAAATTACTCATCTTCACTCTGTCTCTTGTAGGCCTTGACTTTCAGTTGAAGTTTGTCCACAAGGTCTTGCAGTCTGATAATATTCTTATCTTCTTCAGTCTGCATCAGAAAAATGTAATGCCTTAATTAGACCATCTATCATACCTACATACATATTTTTGTTTGATGAAGTACCTGATAAGTCAGTTCCTTCACTCTTCTTTCATATTTGCGGACACCTTTCACCGCTTCAGCACTGCGTCTCTGCTCCGCTTCAACTTCGCCCTCCAGCTCACGAACCTGAAACACGGATTATAATTGATGTTATTCCTGACTTTATGCTTGTGATAAAATATGTGAATATATATTCCATGCGTATATTCCACAAAGCCATTTGCACCACGCTCTTTCGTCACTTAATACTTTATTTTGATGCGTCAATCTGTTTAATTACTTCGTATATGAAACCATGATTCGCATTCACAAAAATAGTCTTCTTTTAACCTTTTATTTTACATGTATCACCAGCAGGACAAAACACAAACATTTCAGCTCAAGGCCTTCTTCAGTGCGTTGAATAATTCAGTCCCTCCACCCTGTTTTTAAAACATTAATTATACTTATGTCATCATTCATCTGCAAAATTAGCCAATGTTAAGTCTCTAAAAATTTCATGTACTATGTGTATAGCCACATACCCTAGCTTCCAGTTTCCATTCTTTCCACCCTTCAAGGCCAGACTCTCAGCCTCATCGAGACGGTGCTGCAGGTCTTTGACTGTAACTTCCAGGTTCTTCTTCATCCTCTCAAGATGAGCACTTGTATCCTGCTCTTTCTTCAGCTCTTCTGCCATCATGGCGGCCTGCAATAATGTTTTACTCAGAATTCAGTTTCTTTGGTTAATAAAAATGTGCAAATCAGTAGTTGACAGTTTTTACTCACATCAGTTACTGCTTTCTTTGCCTTCTCTTCAGCATTGCGTGCTTCCTGGACTACATCTTCCATCTCACCTTGAATCTGAATAAGATCTGCTTCCAATTTCTTCTTGGGGTTAATAATACTAATATTCTAATATATACTATATACTATATTATATAATATAACTATATTACTAATATAACTAATATTTATTTCTATTGTTACTTGGTTGTAAACTTCTCAACTTACTTTTCCGCACAGCGTTTTGACAGTGGCTTTGCCACCCTCTCTGCTGGCTAGCACCCCTTTGAGGCACATCTCCTGTTGGTCTGTCACAAGGTATGCTGTCTTGGCATCAAACGGTGTGTTCTGAGCCTCAATTCTCTCCCTTTCTGGCTTCCGGAGGTAAATGGCCGCCGGGCCAAAACACTCCATTTCTGCATCCCCACTCATGGCGCCACTTCACTGGACAAATAGACCAAACATCAATAACATTAAGGATATTGATCATTGAAATAGTAAGTGGTAATACAAAACATTACTGCATATAATATAAATGATGAATATTGTTTCATGAGGTCATAGCCTAATAGATTTTTACCTCCTTTTGCCTCCAGTCAGTAGAAGTTGGACAAATGATGTGAGAAATCTATAAAAAAAGACATTCCTTCATTAAGCACATTTATGATGAATTTTATTTATGCACACAGAATAAATGTAACAAACTTGATCAATCTTTTTGCATGCAGACTAACTCATTTTCAGTTTGACTCACCTACTTGAAGTCAGCCCCAGTCAATAGCTTCACACTCGACTTCTTGTTTTATAGAGCACAATGTGTTCAGTCAGCAAAACTCTCTCTCTCTATTTGGTGTTTGGACTGCCCTCAATTCCGCATCTCTCTCTGGAATATTATTTTTATCTGATGATAAATCTAAAGTGATTTTGGACAGAGTATTGCAGTTTGGTTCCAATATTTCCACATTTTCAAAACAGTCCGGAGGGTTGCATATCAAAGACGTATTGAAGCTTTAAACATTGCGAACATGCATATTTAAATTTTTTTTAATGAAAATTATAGAAAACTCATGTAACAATAACATTAGAATCATGTGAGAACCTTGATGCTCTATAATAAAATGTATCCACTCTATTAAAATATATAGCACTGCAGTGGTGTCAATCGTGTCAATTCAATCTTAACAATGTTCCTTGGCGCTGTGGGACTTCTCTTTAGCTGAGGGGGAGCCTGCAAATGTCACATGTATACTGTTGCAAATTCCTTCCAAACATACATTTGATAAAAGACATGAAATTTCAATTTTGAAATGAGATGCATGAACAATTGAGCACACAGTCAGGATGTAAAAGTGACCATAAGCTGCTAATGTATTGATTTCATTTCTTCATCTCAGATATGGCTTTGGGGTATGAAATTCGAGGCAAATGAGCATTTGCATTTTCCCATCAAGTGTTTGAACACAATAGTTATTACACTTATGTGATCTGAATATAATTATTTGACTTTTTTTTTTTTAAAGGTCTGTATTTTTATGGTGAAACAAGGGCATTTTCATCACTGCCAGCTTTATTTCTTAACCCATCTCTTGTGGTTGTCAAAGAACTGCATGCCATTTCAACATGAGATCAAATGATTTATACCAATTCCACTCAGTTTCCTTGGGATGGGAAACAAGATAGGGGCTCTGTAAAAGGGGAAAGTGCTGTAAAAATTCTCAAGGTTACCCACAACGGTGAGCTCATCTCAATAAAAAGGGATAAATGATATTTCATATTATCGTCTTATAAGGATTAAGTACAAATATAGATACACTCAAGCAGCTGCCCTTCAAAAACAACACAATATACAACAGCCTGAAGGGAGAACAGATAGGTGAGTACTTTATTTTTTATTATCTCATTTTAATTATAAAAAGGAGGGAAAAGTTGTGAAAACATGAGATTGCTATAAATTCTTTGCTATACTACAAAAAGAGAAAACATAAAACTAAATGACAGTACTTAAAAAGTATTGCCAACTCTGCTTCAAAATATTAGTCAAATGATAATCTGTATTATATACATTAATAAAGATTTCGTATTCTCCCAAAGTCTGTGCTATAAATAAATAATATTCACTTTTAAATAAATTTAAAATAAATCTAAATTAAAAAAACTTTAATTATAATAACACCAATTTTTTAAAACCTTAATTAGAATACTAACATATGGTAGTTTTTACAAATCATGCGACACAGAAGAAAGGTCTGACCTCCATTGTAGGGACAAACAACTAAAAATAAAAAACTTCTCCCTTCTGTCTATATAGATTACATTGTATCTACTATTTGAATATCTTGTGATGATATGAAATGTCTTCTTTCCCAAATATCATGATGGTGCTGCATATCAAATTATTGCAAATACAGGGTGCTGCATATCAAATAGTTACTGACCATTCTCAAGCTCTTCAAATATGGGCTATCACTGTATTGTACATACTTTAACATTCAAAATGTACAGAAGCTAAACTTACCACAACCAAGACCTGTCATTCCCACAATAAACAACACAATACAAGCAATAAAAGGGATTTATTTAGAATTATCATCATTATTTTGGCATGACTGATATGGTTTGTAAGATCAATGTGCACCAGCGTGAGGTTTTTTTAATATCAAATCTAAACATGAAAAATGGTCATTTGAACACAGTATACATATCTATAAAAAAACACTGACAAAACAAACTGTTTAAATTATTGGACACGGAACATTTTTCCTTTGTGCTCATGAGTATCAATGAGGTTTCATTTATATAAACCCACCCTGATTTTAAGGTTTGTTAGAAAGGCAGAGGTAAAATGAGTCCATCCTTTTTAACATGTACAGTACATTCTCATTAATATTAATGAGCACGAGGGAAAGCTGAGGCATATTCAGAATATTGCAACGTTGTGAGCGCTTTACTACTACTAAATAATAACAAAGGGATTATTTGGGATAAGATGAAGAGAGACAGAATACACAACTGGAATCGCAGAGTGTGAAGAAACAAAATACTTTTAAAACAAAATTAGGCCATTAGCAAAAGTTAAAAAAGAGATAGAGGGGCAAAAAAGTCAAACAAAGAATAAAACAGAACAACAAAAGAAGTACCGTGCCTGTCTGTGAAAACCATTACTTTGCTCTCGAGTTACAATACTGCAATACTCTGAATTCATTCCTGTGACAGACGGCACCCTCTGGATCCAGCTGTTCCACCTTTGCTGGAGGTCCAGGAAACAAATCGCACCTTAACTACTTCCTCACTGGCCCCACAGCTCTCCATCGTTTTTTTCCGGTGGCGACCAAGGTGACACAGGTATTGCAGCCAGCAGAAGGTGTACTGAAAATTTCCTAAAACTGTTGAGCACGAACAGAATATAGAGTAAGAGGTTGTTGGTGTGACAGTGACATTTTCTTTCTATGAAATCATACTACAGAGACACTCACATTTTTGAGGAACTCCTCTGCAACTATGCGAGCCCTGGCGTTGACAGACAGTTTCATCTCACTGACTTCCTTATCAATCTCCTCCATAAAATGGATGACAAAGTCCACTAACTTATGCTTGTACATTTGTTCTGTGTGGAAGTTAGTAATGAGGAAACTGATGTCATATCCCTGACAAAAGAAATGAGGGTTATTCGCTGTTAAAATATCATATTTCACAAGACCTGAAGATTTCTGTTAGCAAGAAATCAAAATGCACTAAAAATAGAACGTTCCTCCGCTCTCCCTCACCTCCACTGCTTTTCTTCGCAGGATGAAGAAGTTCTCAGCTCTCATCATCATGAAGCGCATGAACTTGTGACACAGGATCTTTTCAATCTCATCAGCCTTCAATGGACAAGTTGAGGCGCATCATCCAATCACAGACCATTAAAGACAGAAACAAACCATCAGACTGGATTCTTAGCTTGTTCTATTGAAACATAAATCACATACTGCTGGCTAACCGCCGTGGTTCTCAACCTTTGTGACCTAAAGGGCCCACAATCACCATCACAATATTCGAAGGACCCCTCCACCAATAAAGGCTAAGATATTCTTGGTATTTCTGCTGTAATTATAAGATAACTGCTTGTTTTCCAATTTTGATATTAAACTAATCAAAAACAGATCCATCTTGATTGTTTGTGGGGGTTTTTATTATTATACTTTAGCGCATTTTAATATATATTAATAATAATTTATTCATTTAAATCCTGCGGCCCTCTTGGAAGTTTGCGGAGGCCCCTAAGTAGGGCCCTGGTTGAGAACCACTGGCTTACAGTGTTCAGTGGACAGCATGTGTTGATATTAATGAGTCAGATTGAAACCAACCTCCCTCACTTGTCTCCTCTCCACCACAATACTTCTCTTTTTGTATTATTAGTAGCATTTTCTGTATTCAGTCTATAACAACATTTCAAAACCCATCTCAGAAAGGATAGCAAGAGTGAGTTTAGGGTAAAACAACGAGTGTGCTTACCTGTTTGACAGCAATGCTGACTCGCACAGAGTTGATGGAACCTTCTATTAGAACCTTCTCTTTATCATTCCTACTGATCACAACAGGCTGAAGCAACAGCTCCTTACTGCTCCTGTTGAGACGATTAGACAAACACAGTAAAGAATACACAAACACACTGGCATTCTGCATACTATGCAGTATAAATAAGCTTAGTGTCTATTGCTGTATGCACCACAAATGGTTATAAAACGGCATGCTGAATCACGATCAAGTGGCCTAAAATCTGCCGCAATACCATAAACATGAAATCAGGTTTCAGTTCAATAAATATAAATAACTGACATACTATCATTCTAACAGATACATTCCATTTTACAGATACAGATACAAATGCAAGGGTCAGCATTATTTTTTTTTATACTACTATAGAATTTATTATTATTTTGATTGGCTTTTATTTCTACATCTTCAGTTTTAATCATTTTTAATAATTACATTTTAATAATTAATAAGTTTGAATTAATTTAACTATTAATTTTGTTATGCAAGTGTTAGTTTTTGTTTTACTAATTTTATACTGTCAGTGTCAAGGCAACATTTCTCATTTTCATTTAAATTTGAAGCTTTTCATTTAATATTTACATGTTATTTATGCTTTATCTAATGAAAAAAGTTTTTGCAAACAACAACAACACTAACAGGGGTCTCATTATGTCATTGGACCTTGGAATAATCACCAGGAGTAAACCAAAAACTTAATATTAAACTAAACCCCAGATGCGCACGAGTAAAACATTAGAAATTCTCATATGTCCACTATTTCTTTAAAAGCTGAAATGAAAGTTTGAACAATATACTGAAATGGCAGGTTTGACTGTATACTGCGCTTGTACTTTCTTTCAAACTATCTATGGCCAAATCATATTGCAAACATTTTAAAACATTCATGTTAAGTTTGAACCAGTCAGATGTGTGCATGTAGGCTACTGACCTATCATGCAACTTTTACACACAGATAAAACACACATGCGAACACAGTCACACACACTTACCGGACTTCAACCTCTGGTTTGTTGTGTCTTTCAACCACCTGTGAGGAGAAGTTTTCCAGACAGAGAGCTGCCTGCAGTGTAGCCCGCACCGCATTCAGGTACGGACGCAGAGTCGCTGTCTGACGAAACAAAAACTAAATCAGTACTCAGGATGATGAACCATATCTGCAATCTTACAGCAAGCAAGCACTCAGCAAACGGCTCACAACTTCCACTCTATGTGTTTCACACACGCCTGAACCTGCAGGGGAATTTTTGGGAGTCCTACACAAGCCCTCCAAAGAAAAGAAAAACTACCCTGTACACATTAAGAGCCTCAGTCAACATGCAAACATCATTAATCTCTTCATAGACTGCACTTGTCTGAAGCTCGACACTTCCTGAACTTAAATTCAAGACATAGAGGAAGTGCAAACCTGCATGTAAGATAATGCATTTTTAAAACACTGACCTTGTTTAGCATTATGTGGGCTGTCTGAAATTCAGAAATAGCTCACTGCATAGAACTAGACTCTACAACAGACAGTTGCCTGTACACATAATTTTCATAACTAAAGCAAGTTAATTTGTACTGAATAGCTGATAACACCTGAGAAATGTTGTACACTCATCTGTGTTGTGCGTAACCAAACAGCAAATAACACAGAAGTAACCAGCAACCATCTCGACAGAATGTGCACTTATACACTCGTTTATTTAAAGGTGTAACAATACTGAAGGACAAGATTTGTAGCACAACACTAGTATATTTAATAATAAAGGGCTGTCTGTTAATTATTTTCTGTCCATCGATTAATGCACAATATGAAATGAGGTCAATTTGAGTTGTCTTGCCCATAATACACAAACCCTGGATTACAAAGCGCTGCCAGTGTTAATACACACTGAACTGTCAAATCAGTATCAGTCAACTCGCGACTGGGGAATATGGGTGGGGATGTTGGCTAACGTTAGTGATTTAGCACTACGCGCCGACTGAGCAACTCCACACCAACGCAGAAACAAACACCTGGAGTCAGACTTTTGCGTCACAACAGTATTATCATTCATGTAATAATGATTATATAAACAAAACACAATTTGTATTTTTCCCGAAGTGCTGAAAGGCAATCCTACCATTTCTGTGTACCCGCTGGAGCAGAAGACGGAAGTGCTACAAACACCGGGCGACTTCCGCGAGAAACGCCATTCATCGGAAGATACCAACTTTTCACCAAGTAGGGGGCGACGACTGTATAATTCTAACGGAATTTTATTTTCCTGCCGTTTCTAGTCGAAAAATATATTGATAGTGAAATGGGCTAACATGCCTGTATTAAGTGCTTAATTCGCTGACAATATTGCTTACTGTAGACTTTACTTTTGTGACATTTGTGCAATAAGTTGTAGAAGAGGAAGTTCTTGTCAGTTGTAGCGGTAGCAGAACTTTAACTTGTTTTTTTTTTTTTTTGTATATACAGTAGCCTACTATTTTCTCTTAATTGTTTTACCACCTAATATTTTTGTATCGTATTTAGAATCACATTCTGCATGATGGTCGTTTTTAAAGAGCTCAGCAGGGATAAAAAAAAAAAACAGCAGAAAAGGGAAAATGTACGTAACTCAGTCCTTCACTAAAAGATACAATTGTCAAAGGCTTTAAGGAAAAAAGTTTAGATCTCCAGATTATTAGATCCCAGAACTAGTTTTAAATGTATTTACCTTTTCACCCCTGATTATTTTATGATTTTTGTGCATGCACACTTTACTCAACACAAAGTGCTCAAGGTAATATAATTGAATTGAATCATTAATCTTGCTATATATAGGCTATCCCGTTTAAATGAACAGGTTAAAAAGGCATCACCATTAAACACCGGTCAAGAAGGTTGTGCAGTCATTTTTATAAAAAAAAAATCAGAGGTTTATTTGACATACATGTTGTTTTTTGCAGTTTAGTAACATTTCATATGAAATTGTTGTTAAAAAAATACTGTGCTAGCTTATATTCACAAAGCGTTCATCTTCGTCTAGTTAGCTAGTACCAAGTGTCCTGTTTAGTGCAGCAAACGAAACAATCTGTCACTTCCATTTCAGGAAAGCATGGCGTCTTGCACTGCAGAAACTAAAGTGGGTGTGTCTCTATGAAGCCGTTTCTTAGTACAACCCCCAAATGACAGCATACCTAAAATAAACAGAAATATCAAAAATAAAAAAACGAATCCCCTTAGATATGGGTTCTCTATCCAAGAAGCTATATACAAAAATATAATTCTTCAATTTCAAAGAAAGTCTATTTTGATTTCTTCGCCTTGGTTGCCTTCTTCGCCGCGACTTTTGGCTTTTTGGCAGCTGCTTTCTTCGGTTTGGGTGTCGCCTTCTTAACACTCGTCTTCTTCGCGGTCTTCTTTTTAACGGGGCTCGTTTTGGCGCTCTTCTTTGCAGTCACTTTCTTGGTCACGTCTTTTTTGGAAGCCGGCTTTGCAGGTTTTACTGTCTTGGTCGCCTTGGTGGCACTCTTCTTTGACTTTTTCTCAAATTTCTTTTTATTGAGCTTGAATGAGCCGTTGGCTCCCAGTCCCTTGACCTGCACGAGCGTGTCGTTGAGCAGGAGCGCGCGGATGGAGTAGCGCAGATACACGCGACCGTTCTGCTGATCAAACCAGCTCACTTTCTTCGCTTCATTGTATATCTTGAAAAGCGACGAGCCGTTTTTCTCGCCCAGGGTGCGGATCGCATCAATGACCAGCTGGCTGTACTTGCCGGGCCCCTTGCTCTTCTTTTTCTTCTTTTTAGCTGGAGAAGCAGTTACGGCAGGTTTTGCCTTCTTCGCCGATGCCTTCTTCGTTTTGGTTGCTGCTGGAGCAGGGGCTTGGGTGGGTGTTGACTCTTCGACCTCAGCAGACATGATCAAACTTGATGCGTAATATGTGTGTTTTCCGAGAACGCGAGAATATCAGCTCCTCAGAAGTTTGAATCATCAGATTTAACGGCGGCACGCGGACGTGATTGAGAACAACAACACCGTCGACAGAGGCGCTTGTGGAGTTGTGTTTTCTTCCACGACTTTGGGAGCTATTATCTTGTTAGCTTGACATATATTACTAAGTTAAATTATTCATACGGGAAGTGCAAAAGGTGCTCTTTCTGACAGTGTGTAAAAGTAGTGAAATAAAGGCAAACCCGTTGCGCGAGGAAGCAAAGAAAAGATCTTGCCCACATAATGCCTTGCGATTTTGGGTAGGGGTACTTACTTTGCGAACGAAAATCATTTAATGGCTATTGACACAGTTCATGCATTAAACTTGCTTTGAAAATTTAGAAAGTAAAGATTCTAGAATTATACTACTCATTCCGTTTTTACCAAATGCATTCGAGATGCAAGCAGTTTAATTTCACTTAACTAACACATTAAATAACGCCCTCGCGTGGTTGTGTATTGGCAAACTTTTTCTTTGCTTTGCTCTTTTGTCCCTGGTGACTTAACACTATTCTTCTGTGCCTTTTTGTGAAAGTGAATGTTTTGCACAAATAAAGACATGAAATTTGAGTATTTGACATGTCGTTTTATGATACGTTAAAGTCACCACACTTTTTATGTTTTAAATGGTTTATTATATCAAAGGTGTTGTGCTACAGTTGCTAGAATTCGCTGAGTCTGATAACTCGTTACTAGACCACCTGTCATAGTTAACATCTAAAAGGTTCGTTACTGCACTGAGCTGTAACGTGCTGACAGATTAGAGATAAACTGTAAAACTGTCTGTGATTTAATTTTGACCATGATAAACGTACAGTAAGAGTTGGTACAGTAAGAAGAGACTGTTTGGGCATGAACTATTTGGGCATGAGGCATATAGTTTAAATTATGCTAAAAACATGATATGATAATAAATCTAAGTTTAGTTTAACAGAGTCTAACTAACAATGGGGTATTTTTCCAAAATGTTGAGCAAACCCAACCCCTCTTGTGGCATGTGCTGTTTAAAAACTTCAGGGGTCGCCACAGAGTACATTTGTATAGTTACTCCTTCCATTAGATACAGGTTTGGTTAATATAACCATAACGTGATACTCCTGGGAGTTTCAAAAGATATAAAGGGAATAGATAGATAGATAGAAAATATTTTATGTGACCCCCACCCATCACATAAATGGCAATAAGCTTCATAACATTTTTCCAGATGCAAATTAGCTGAAAACTAATGCCATAAAATAAGTAGATATTTTTAATCAAGGTAATAATAATTAATAATAATAATCAAAAGTAAAACCTGAATAAGGATGCATCATGTCTGGTCAACATATCAGGTCGTGAAAGTTAATTATTCTGCAACATCAGTTTGTTAGAAATAAAACAAAAAGAATGTAACATTTTTCAAAATAATTAAATTTCTCCTCTAAATGCCTTCATCCCAGACATTCAGCACTAGATGGCAGTCTATCTACTGATAATGATTTGTGTTATGATTGTATACACATGTACAAGGTGTTCACATCTTCCAAACCTTGAAGGTGTTACACATAATAACAGGCCACATATGTTTTAAATTCATTACAAATTGTAAACATATGTATTTTCTGCACCCAGATTAATTACACTTTGATTAGGAAATACCCCAACATACAGTGATTTTTGATCTGTTCGTTACCGACCTACAGGCGAGTCATGCGTTGACTGTAATATGCATGTTGGTACATTTACAGTTACACAGCAGTTATAGCCACTTCCTGTTGCACACATGCACACAAAGAGCAAACACCTCTCAATAAAATAGGTCTAGCACCTTCCCTTTAGAGACATAGAAAGGTTAAAAGTCAAAGTGTAGCACAGGTCATCCTATTCAAAAGCCATGTGTATTTATATATAGTGTGTGACTGTCTGTCTTTTAATAAGAGTCTTAAAAGAGGAATTCCAAGTTTTCACACACTTCAAAACAAGACACACACACACACAGTGAAGAGGTTTAGGTAAATCTTTTAATAAGAGTCTTAAAAGAGGAATTCCAAGTTTTCACACACTTCAAAACAAGACACACACACACACACAGTGAAGAGGTTTAGGTAATACCTGATGAGGATGTTTTATCTTTGTATTTGAACGTGACTGTATGAGAGTGTATGAGATTCTAGATGGATTTGATTGTGAAATTTCATGCGAGTGTTTGCATGTGCATATAGATATATAGGTACAAGTGTGTGTATTTGTGTGTGTTAGGGGGTGGGTGTACTGGTGCATGTCAGACAGCAAAGAGCCGCAGTTATCTAGGAATCTGAGCCAAAAGAGCCTCACAAACAGAAGAGAGTGTGCAGAAGAGCGAGAGGGAGGGATAGAGAAGATCAAATAAAAGAGAAAAACAGGAGAGGAGACTGACGAGTACATAGTGAGAAAGAAATACAATGTGTAGGACTCGATAGACTGCAGATGATACTGATCTGAACACAGGAGTGTGGCTAGAGAAAATCCTATCGAAGATAAGTAGTATAAAGTAGATACCGGTAGAGTAGAGAGAGAATAGACAGGGAACAGGTGCATAATATCTCTTTGGACTCGTGTTACGGCCTGAGCAGCATGTGTGTGCAGGTTGTGCCCTTGCTTTTGCTAGGAGCATACATGATGTGTGTCTGTGTGCTGTGTCAGAGGGACATCCTGGTGGCCGGGCCACCCAACAGCAGATGTGAGGGGAGCTGCAGTGCAACAGCATCACCCCCTAAAATACATCACCCTCACTCTCAGGACTCGCAAATTAGAAAGACTCCAGTGAACCGCAAAACCGCACAGGTAAGCATTACCTAAACATGATCCTTGGTGACAGATCTGAGAGTGTATTACTGGGCACAAATATCTTTAAGTAACATTTTAACAGATTAAACTTTTAACATTTTTTAGAACGATTTTAAACATGTATTAGTAAACGTTTACATTACTATTAAGATTAATAAATGCTGTAGAAGGATTATTCATTTTAATTTATATATATATATATATATATATATATACACACACACACACTGCATTATTTTTAATATTTGTTGTTTTTTTAATTTTTGTTTGATTTTTTTTGTTTTACTAACTACATTAAGGAATTACATTAATATATATATATATTAATATATATATATACATTGTTTATTTTTTATATTTTATTAATATTATTTTTTATTTTGTGTATTATAAAAAATTATATAATGTTTTCATATGTTGTTTCTATACCAATAACACATAAGACTTTTGTGGGTGTGTGTGTAGTAGTGTAAAATAAATATTAGTATATTTTATCCATTCCTGTCTTCATTATTTGCCTGTTGAATAATAATTAATACTGGTTAAATTCAATAGCACACATCCTTAAATATTTCGCATCTAAGACAGCTATACAAGTACAAAAGTACATACTAAGTAGTCATATAATTTATGGGGTTTCTTGAAGCAAACATGTTAATTATGAAGCATATATTTTTAAAATTATGGTTATGCAAGAGTACTGGGCCATTACAACTTTTTAGTCACCTTGGTTTTTTTTTACCGACAATAAAATGAATGAATGAATGAATGCATCGGTGTCATTTTTTAAGAAAATATTTTATGAAATGGAAAAAAATATAATGAATAAACATGAACAAAATTAACAACTACTGACGCTAAGTTAAAGTGTTAGAATATGGAGAATCTGTATACAATGTAAAATATGGTGATTGAGATGCAAGATGCATGCTCTTTGTGTTTTTATGTCTGTGCATGTTTATATGTGTCCTGCAGGTGTCTGATACATCTGAACATCTCATCCAGCTTCAGCGCTGTATGCTGCAACATGAATCAGTGGTTGTGAGTCAGGGAGACGGCTCTGACTCACTGGTAGCCTTTCTGGCTCTCATGGCAGCGGTGCTAACAGAATGTGACCTCCACTGCCATAGTCAGAGACTCAGAGAGATGGCCACCAGACTCGGTCATTACATTCCACAACATATAACTCTTACATTTCCTTCTTAAATAAAACGACATGCCTAGATAACGCATATTAATGTGTGATTCCAATGTGTTAACAGACTAACTACGCTTGCCCTTCATAATTTATTGATTCTTTCATTCCTGCTGTTCTCTCAATTAAGTTAACACCTAATTTACACTCAGCAAACAGTGGTGTTCTTAGGAATGCAAGAAAACTGACCCTTGACAGCCCTAATCTGACCCTCTCATTACCTTTCTCTAACCTTTGTATAACCTCACAACAAACTCTAACCATCCTGAAATAGTCAACTAGCAAATAATCAAACAAATAATAATTTATTCTTAAAAACACTCTAAAAATGTAAATGCAAAAATGTTTTGCATCAGATACATTCTCTTTGCAATGCTTTATCTGTAGAAACACTTTTTTTTATCATATTGCTTTGTATTTGACAGGGAATCACCGGGAGTTTTCAATCGTAAATCATTTCTTTTTATGTCCAACAGGGGCGTTATAATCATTTGGGAATATTAGCAATAGTCATTATAATTGTGTTTTTATAAGATGGTTTGTGCTAGAATTCTGTAAGAACATTTCCATTCTCATTTATTTGGATTGGTTCCAAATCATGATAGGAACTCTAACAGGAATCCTGTAGAAAATAATGCATTCCTTTAGAATTTTTTGACTAAGGGACTTTCTCTTTCTGTCATAGAACATGTGGTGGGCAAAAATGGGGAGAAAGACTTGCTGCTGTTGCTAAAGAGTATCACAGATTCTAAACCTAATGGCCTCAAACCAAGGACTCCTACAGGTGAGCCACACACACACACACAGAACAAACACCCCACGCAGTCCAGCAGACTACTAGGATATTTATTGCACAAATGTTCACAGATGTTTTGTTTGGGTCTATACGGCAGTGCCTCTCTCTGCAGGGCTTTACCCTCAAGACTGTCATGAGATCTACCAATTAGGAATCAAAGAGAATGGAATCTACACCATACAACCAGATCCGAAGAAGCCAGCGCTAGAGGTACAAACATTAAATGCACAGAAAATGTACAAGTGTACTATTGTTTTAAAAGCTGGAACCAAACAAACATTCCTGTATATAAAACAGTAGATCATCATCCCAGGGAATGCATCAACTGATAAACAGTATAAATGGCATAAATTGTCTGCCAAATGCATAAATGTAAATGTTGTGAAGTACATTCCACTTGGATTGATATTTTGCAACCTAATACATGTCCAGTGTGACTTAAAGGGATAGTTCACTCAAAAATTAAAAGATGATTTTGAAGATCACTGGTTTGATCACCCGGCATCATCAAAGGGTGATTATCGTCAACTAAAACTATTAAAACATTTTTGCTGATTGAAATAAAACTGAAATAAAATAAAATAAAAACTCAATTCTCAGTTCAGTTCTAATTTCTGTTTAGTTTAAGTTGAAGCACTAAAATTACTAACTGGAAACTAAGACTAAAACTGAAATAAAAATATATTACACCTAAATAGTAATGTAAAAAAAGAAATAAATTACAAAAGCACAAACAAAATTACTAAAAACATTAACTAAAATTAAATGAAAACTGAAAGTAGGAAAATAAAAGCTATAAAGCCAATTCAAAGTACTAATAAAAACTATAATAGCATATAAATAATACTAAAATAACACCGTGTCCGATTGGAACTCATTGACATTCATTGGATGGACAAATTAACCCCACGGAAACATTTTTAAGCTATTTTGTGTTCCAAAAAACACAAGCATGCAGATTGGGAGGATAAGTAAATGATGACAGAATTTTTTTAAAGTTCAGATAGTTTTGGAGGCAACTCTGGGCCTATATGTGTGTTTTCTTTATGACTTGTCCATTCCAGGCCGTGTGTGACATGGTTTCAGCTGGTGGGGAATGGACAGTGTTCCAGCGCCGGTTTGATGGACAAACTGACTTTAACCGAACCTGGCAGGAGTACTGTGATGGATTCGGCTCCCTGCAGACAGAGCACTGGTTAGGGAATGCAGTTCTTTACGCACTAACCGCAAGTGGGCATCACACGCTCCGCATCACTCTCCAAGACTGGCACAACCAGACACGTCATGCTAACTATAACAACTTTAAAGTGGCAGGAGAAAACCAGAGGTATATGTACACATAGACATACTAGTTTCTATTGAAAGACCAGTGTCAAAGCAGAGTTTAAACAAACCATGAAATAGTTCAGTTTCTTATCATGACGCATGTATGTTCTTCTCTCCATAAGGTTCCGTTTAACTGCTCGAGATTATCATGGCGATGCTGGCAATGCATTCAGTTACAGCAAACAGTACAATCACGATGGCAGAGCTTTCAGTACATATGACCGGGATCATGATCGCTACGCTGCTGGTAACTGTGCCCGTTATTATGGTGCAGGCTGGTGGTTTGATTCCTGTTTGGCTGCTAACCTCAATGGACGCTACTATCACGGGCGTTACAGTGGCATCACGGATGGCATCTACTGGGGCACCTGGTATATCCTGACGGACTATCGCACAGGGGAACGATACTCATTCAAGAGTGTTGAAATGAAAACTAGACCAAGGCGGAGCTAAGGAAAATGTTGATTTGTAATCATACTCTTGCACTACATATTTCATTTAAATAATGGCTTGTAATTATATAACCCGGACCTGCCATTATATTGAACTTGAGATTTTTAGATAACTGTATGATATGAGAACACATTTATAAACATTTATTTTTGAAAAAATGTCAAATGTAATTTTAAGAAAACTCTTACTCAGTGTATATTATCGATTTTCAGTTACAGTTGTTTTTTGAGACGCAAATAAACTATCAAACGCTATTCGTGCTGCAAATACAGGAATTTATTTTTTTCTTTATTCGAAGTCAAAAATCTATTGTTATTGATCTTGCTGTGATCAGTTCATATGTGCATATGTTTCTTTTCTTAATCTCGTAATTCATATTCATAATGTTCTGAAAATGACTCTAAATGTTCAAAACAACTGAATCTTTTAGTGAAATGACAGGTGACATATGCGATCATTCTCCAATCATTTAGTCTGCTTAAATCCCACCCCTTTCTTATAATTGACTGCAAGCTCTGCATCAGCCAATATGCCTCCATCCAATCAACAACTTGTGAATAGAACCAAGACACTGCCTTACATTTTTCCTTTTTTGATAATCCGTTTTCTCGAGTATGTCATAATACAGAAAAACGATCTGTTGCTACTTTCTTTTATTGTTAAGTTTATTGAACAACTCTATAGAATACTTCCCCCAATTTTTTCTGTTGACAAACCTATATAATGACCAATATTCTATATACTGTGCAAATTTTAAGCCTTCACTTTAGGGTCCTGATCACCCCATCAGCGTTTCTTCTGCAAAAAATGACTGGCTGACTGCATTTTATACTCATAGCTAAAATCATTCATAATGCAGAAAGGTCAAAGTTCAACAGGTCTAAGGTGGCCCTTGTGGTTGTGCTGCACTTACAGTGAGATAAAATCCAAAATTATGCATAGAAAAGTTCTCACTCATCATCAGAAATAAACATAAATAGATATCATTTGGCTGATCGAAGGCCTCGTTTTATGCTCAGCTCATTTCTTCCCATACACTTTCTCTGTTCAGTCTCCAGGTGAATGACTGCAATACCAAAACTATCCTGCCACTGACACATTCTAAGCCATAAATCCTTATCACATCTTTGACTATAAAGGACAACAGTAAACTGTGGACGGATTGGGTTTGGGGTGAAAAAAGCAAAGAGTTTCTTGTAAGCCACTGCGGTCAGAGTGTTGAGATTTCAGTGCGATGGTATCACAGGTTACAAAATGTACACAAACAAACTCACATGCACATGGCATTAATAACCAAGATGGACCTCTGATCCCTGAAAGACAGAAAGTGTGTGTGTTATAGAGGGTGAACAGTGGGAGTGTGAATCTGTTGAATCTGCTCCTTTTAGCCGTATTCACAAAGAGCTGCCAGTCTGTTCAACACGTTCTCAGTATCTATTAATACTCTTTTGCCTATGATCTGCTGACTACCAACCAGATATGATATTTCACATACACATTCAAACACACAGTCATGCTGCAGCACACTGCAGTTGAAAGACTGTTTTCATCCATACAGTTGGATGAGTTTTGTCAGGCCTGTGACTACAGAACACAGAGAACATGGGACATCAGAAAATTATTCTGCACAGGAGTTTGGGGATATTTTTGCTCACAACAGTCTGTCTGTATCTTATAAGTAGAAATACAACTTTATATTGACATATTTTTAAGTATGTACAGACCATGATGAATTGATGCTCACCCACAAATGCGGATGGCATTGGTACAGGCCTCTTATTTGTGGACATTCAGTCCATCATATGTCATCCGGTTTGTTTGGCTGGCGAATGAATCAAGTTGATCAAAATCAGAACAAATAAACATAGTAACTCTCAATGAAGGCTTCTCTCTACTCGTTTCCACCATCAAGATCACTATGGTAAAGCAGAAGCCAGCTCGGCTGTTACCACAGTATCCTGGCTGAGTGCCTGGCTGGTATGATAAGGAGATAAAAGGAGTGATGGGGAGAGAGATAAAGGGAGAGGGAGAGGGGGAACTAACAGTCTGCAGGCACCCAGTCCGGAAACCCAAAGCGGGCAACAGTTACCCAGCACATCCCCTTAAAGCTGAAAACACTCATGCACGCATACACTTACTCTCTTACCACACATTTTTGCATACTGCACATAGTGGAGAAAAGCTTGTGTGCGTTTGTCCCCAAGGAACTTTCAACATCTAGATATTTTTTTTTCTAGATATTGTTTTTTTAGAAGCAGACCTTGTTAAAGTTGAAAAGCCACTTAATGTGATGTAATCATTGATATATTGTATTTTCATCATCTAAATAAGATGACATACATCTGTATTTGTCATTATTCATGCTAATCAGGCAGGTTAATTGGAAAACAGGGCCTGAAGTAATCGGGAGGCTGTGTGTTGAGCATGTTGTCTCGGTTCAATTGAAGCTCTATGGTTCAGAAAGGCGAAAATGGCCAGAAGATGGCAGCTTTGAGTTAAAAATGACTGAAAATCTGATCACCAGCCTTTTGGTTTGATTGAAGCATGCTAAAGGTGCTCAATGCCATCTCAGTAGATTCTTAATAAAAGTCCATTATAACTAAACATAATGGGAACAACTGCTGATTATCACCTAATCCAAATATGAATAAAAATATAGCCTGAAATCCAAGAGTCGAGTTGCTGTTGTCCCCATCGCTTTTTTTTGTTAGCTTACTCTTTTCTTTCATATTATTTTTGTCCTACTGCCATGCACTTACACAACCAAAACACACTAATACATTTATTTAATACGGCACTACACTAATACATAGCAGTGACTTTGCTTGTGATCTTGTGAACTGTCACTTTTAAATTTTTAGAAATCTAATTTAACCAGAGAGACCTATTTTCATGCTGATTTAAAGGTATAAACATTCATTTGAATGTCAGAATAAAGAAGTATTGTGACATCAGTTTTGAAATATCTAATAACTTGCTCTTGAACACATGATATGAACAGGAAACTCCATGCTAGGGCTTCCCAACTATGAATAAAAAGATGCTGGAATCTAGCTTTGGCTAATTCACCTTCATTGGGCCTTTAAGGCGAACTACTAACTTACTAGCATCACAAAATACACCTGACTCCATCTCTAAAAGATTTTATACAGGCATACATTCTTAGCATATTCACAATTAATAATTTAAGATCGAAGTACGCTAATTTTGAAAGTATCCTGGCTGAAATCTGAAGCATCAGCTCTAATATGTGTGTGATGTTGCTCTGGTAGTTTTCTGCACAGAGTGGATTAGAGAATATAAAGTTTGTTTGTGTGTGACATGAAATTAATTGGTTGCTTTGCACTTAATGAATGTTACACGTGAGTAAAGGCAAGTGTCCGTTACAGCACCTGTCCATCTGTCTGAAGAGGGATGTGCATGTGTATGACAGATTGCGGTGCACCAGCGCTCCGTTTCATACCGGAATTCAGCCAGCAGCCCTGTATCCTGATGTGGTGAAAACCAGGCCTGCAAGGCATTCTGGGTATGGGAGGGGGAGAGGGTTATTCACACTACAACATCTTCACACACATTCACTATCATTCACAAACAGATGTACAAAATGTACACACACACACACACACACACACACACACACACTAAAGTCCTTATGATATCCACATTATCCAATTCAGGACAAAAGTATGGTTTCAGATATCATTAATTTCACAATCTTGTCAAAAAAGTAAATATAATAATGAAAAAATTCATCCATTTCATAATTAAAGTCCTTAAATAACTGTAATCTGATTATATATGTGTAAATCTGTATATTATTTCTTTACAGAATAAAAAGTATAAACAATTGCAGATGTGATTTGTAAAACAAAAACAAAAAATTGACATAAACGGTCCGGCCTTAAAAAAACAAAACACTCAATCTCAGTGAAAGTAAAATCAAGGTAATGACTGTTATGACTGTGGATATATTGTGGGCAGTTTAATATTCCTTTCTGGTCTTTTGCCTGAGAAAGGGAAAAGATGACTGACAGATTGTTACTGCAGTATGCTGTTAATACTGCCTTCCTGATACTCTTTTGCGGAGGAAATTAACAGGCAATTAAGGGATCATGGGCTACATTGTTTAGCTTACATTGTCAAGTGGAGAGAGAGAAAGAGAGAGTGAGAGGAGGGCAGTGAGAATAAGAGCGAGTTCCAGGTTAAAATGTTTATCATACAGGTTTTATGAAATCTTAAGATTTGTTCAAACTGCTCCATCAGATGCAGAAGGAACACAACAAAAGATTGCACAATGGATCACTTGGTCATCCTTGTACTGGAAATTATTCAGTGCTGCTCTTTACCCTCTTGAGCCTTTTGATTACTTAAAATCTGAAGCATGAGGAAGGATTGTTTTCTTTACAGAAACCAAAACCAAACCAAAGTTCTTTCAGTCATTTTTTGATCACGGTGCAATAAATACATAAGAACGAAAGTATAATTTAATGTCTGGTTTATCATTTGTTGTGTGATGTGGATGAATGTTACATAACAGAACTAACAAACATCTAAATCAGCTGTTTTTTCTTTTGGTTTAATCTTTAATCACATACATAACAAATATATAGCACACCACTTCATTTACAGATCGATTTATGAAAAATGTACGTGCCAAATGACTGCAGTTGTCTAATTTTGAATGGCAACGACAAGCGCTTTGAAGGAATGTCATCTCTCTCTCTCATTCACCCTGCATGACTCACTTTCCCTCTCTCTCTCATCAAAGTGATGGGAAGATCTTATGAGAGATCTTAGGTGGTCAGCGGTTTCGTGTTGTCATTGACCGCGCACGAGACGCATCTGCCGAGACAGACAATACGCGCGCACTGGCCAGAAACTTATTCCCTGAATTATTAAAGATCAGGAGAAGTCGATGGAGGACGTTGCATTGCATTGCTTCGTAGAGGAGAAAAAAAGAATACTCGCCTCACCTGGAGCACGCGCAGGTTTCTCCAGGCGCTACATCAGTTTCAATGGCAACACAATGCGGTCTGTATTATTTGATATATAGTTTTCAGAGAAATAATATAAATGTAGGTCTAAATATACATTTTATACTAATACTATAAATGTGTACAAATTATTTGTTTTTTTTTTCTTAAATGTAAACTTTAATTGTTACCAATTAGTGACTTATTATCCATTCGCGCGAAGCTACAGGATGCTGCTGTGTGAAATGTACAATAACTCCTGTAGGGGTTCAATCTTCAACTGGCTGGCAGGAGCCGCCACTCAGAGGTCATATGACCTGCCAGTGGCTGGTGGCAGCTACCAGTCTGATTCTGGCAGCTGCCAGTGGCTGGTGGCAGCTGCCAGTCTGATTCTGGCAGCAGCGCAGACCTGCAGCGAAACGAATGGATAAAGAGACGCGTGGGGTAAATTGGAGTTTCAGGTGTCAAGCTGGAAAAAAAGGCGAACTCTAATTGGCTAGAAAATCAGTTATGCTGAAGGGAGGAGTCCTGTCTCATATACAACTCTTTTACACACAGATTTTTGACTAGTCGCTAGTGTGACTACCTGTGGCGATCATCCTTATCCTCACAGGCACGAGTAGGTACTTTTTGAGCCGTAGGCGCGTTATGGAGTGACGAGATAAGAAGGTCGGTTACTCTTCTTGGACTATTTTTTCAACCTCCGCTTTTCTTCCAACGCACAGGATTTGGTTTCGAACATTATCTGAAGATCTACCTCAGTGCACACCAACACACATTGCTGGGGTAATCAGCTGTGGTGGCATTTTTGTGATCTTTGCACGCGCGACAGATGCGCAAACTCCTGACTTAATAGGCTATTTATATAGTCATTTAGGCTTACGCACTCATAGGCGTACTTAATCATTTAGGCTTATATTCAAGACATTCAAGAAAACAACACTTTGGAAAAACATAGCCTACTCGCTGGATGAACTTGGTATAACTTTTCAAAAAAAGGTTAAGTTTGTTTTTTCACCGCTCACGAAAACTTGCATCCCTGTCCTACGGGAGAACATCTACAGATGATGGAGCTCCCTGCGGAGCCCCGGTGGATGATGCATGCCCATCATTCAGCCTTAACGGGTACCTCAGACTCGGTGTCTCCGCACGCTGGTTTAGGACATCATTCGGGATATATTGAGACAGGTGCCCCATTATTACCACCAGACGAGGTGGATGTATTTCTCAGTCATTTGGACTCTCAAGGAAACCCCTATTATCACTCACACGGGTCCCACTCTCATACTCGTGCACGAATGTCTTACAGTCAAACGCATGGTGAGTGGGCCTGGAGTTCTGTCGTTTTTTTCTTAATTACAATTATTAGGTTTTTATTGTCAGTGTAACGGCACAATTTTGAGATCGAAGGATATGCTTTTTTTACTGCATCACTTTTTTTCTTTCTTTTTTTGTTCTAATCAGATTCATGCTTTATATGCTTCTATCCTGCTTTCATATAGTATTCCAACAGAAAATTACTTTTGTTATTATTATTAAATAATGGTATGGTAGTGTAGGCTAATTCTGTGATATAGTTTCAATGAACACAAGCTCCAATTCAGTTTGACGACTCTTATTAAACTGGATTGGAGTATTAAGTAGGCTATATTAAGTAGCCTAAGTGTATTTACAAATATCACAAATTAAATATACAACGATTATTATTTTAATATTGTACATTTAAATGTGTTATATAATATCATATTAATAGACCGTATTAGATTAGGCTATATTAATGTCTGTTTTAACGAATGTATAAATTTGAGTATAGTAGGCCTATTTAAGAAACAAAAACCATGACACGCGTTTTGAATCAAACTCGTTACGCGGAAATTAAAATAGAAGAAAATAATTATAATGGTTCCAAATAGGCTATTTTAAGATATTAATTCTAATTCCAACTGATAGTAATCGGTTCGCTTTTCCAATCTGGCCTCCCACAACAAGTTTTAATTTGTCAATCACTTTTGATAGTTGCGATTAAAAACATTTTCGAGTTTCCTCATTTGGATTGCGTAATACCTACTTTTTAACTAGTGTTTTCTTGCAGTGTGGTTAAACGTGGATAAAAATTAGAATCGAATTGACTTTTAACTATCTACGTGTATATATTTTTCCTCTCCTTTTGGCAGCACGGCTTACGGGTGGCTCAATGTGTCGACCTCACCTTATCCACACTCAAGGTCTCTCTATACAGGACAACAACAAATCGACTTTTTCGGCGGCGCAGCACCACAGCACATGGACCGTCAGCCACCTGGGCAAAGCGGTTCTGCATTCAGCAGGCGCCGACAACGCAAACACCCTGTACACCGGCACCGGTACGCCTGGCCCGGATTCGATGCCTTGCCTGTCAATGACTCAACACTGCAGCCCTCAGCTCTACTGCCTGCCCCCTACTCCACCCAAAGATGCGTCCCCCGACCCTGCTTGTACTTCTGTGAGGGACACTGGGAAGTACCATCTCCATTTTGTCGACGGGATGAAGATGGAGTGCTCCAGTCCAATCCGTGGCAATCTGGCACAAACTACAACTATACCTTCATATTCCGATTACGCTCTATCTGGAGCGCACGAGTACCCAAGCAGTGTGTTTTACTCCAGAGGTCTGCTCGGGAGCAGCGCGAGCAGCATGACGTCAAAATGCAAAAGCAAAAGCCGCGCTTTCTCAGGTAAAATTCAGAGTTCATAGTTCAGATTAACAGTGGAATTTACAAGAGATTCATTGTCTAACTTGAAACATACATACGGTAAATGATCCAAACATAGTGTTAATGTAATAGTATAATTTCAGTACCGAATGAACGTTCTATTTGATAATAATTTTATGGAGCAGTATACGCTTTGGTATTGCTATATAAATTATAAATACATGGACACTGTAATGTGTTGCCATAACTTTGTTGCAGTAGGCACAGTTTGTGCATCTGGATTGAAATAATGGAAAATGCACTTTATTACAATAATAGCTAAATACAATATATACGATATTAATATCTAAAAATATTCTGTAGAAGTAATCTGACCATATAGATTAAAGATTATTTTTATATTTAATAACATATATGCAGAACCAATTTTAATTTGTTTTATTTCTGCTTTTTGGCACAGTAGTAATAATTTGACTAAAAACATAATTTGCATTATTAGTATTTTTTTATTTAGAATGGCATAAATAATAACAATAATTATACTGTATTATAAAAGTACTGTGCTGTGTTATTTAGGGCCCAAAAGTATAAAAGTTTAAATATCTGTAAAACAAATATCAAATTGGTTATCTATCTCTACATATAATAAATAATGTCAGCATGAATAAGTTGTTTGTTTTTATTTCCTCTCTCTTCATTTTGTTCATCTCTTTTGTGCATAATTTGTGCCTGAAGGGCGTGAATGTGTGAACTGTGGAGCTACATCAACTCCTCTGTGGCGGAGAGATGGAACAGGTCATTATCTCTGTAATGCATGTGGACTCTATCACAAGATGAACGGCCAGAACCGACCACTCATCAGACCTAAGCGCCGACTGGTAAGTGCCACACACTTACACACCTTCACATAAACACAGTTCAAGTTTGAGTTTAGAATCTTTCTGTATAATGAAGAAATTATTTTTTTAAGTCATTGCCTAAATGTTAACGGACAATAAAACAGCTGACGTATGTGGAACGCTAGACAGTATTAACACTTCAGGAAAAACTGTCATATGTTGTAGTGTTTCATTTTCTGTAATATTGTGCCCATGTAATGCACTGCAGAGAATGTGTACAGACAAAGCGAGAAGGAGAGAAAAAGAGTGAAAGGCATTAGTCTCTGTGTGTAATGGAGCACTGAGTTTCCATGGCCCTATTGACAGGTTTAAATAGCAAGTAATGAATTAGAATTCAGTGTAAATTTGACCAGAAATCAGATACTTATCAGGCCTATCATTTTACCTTATTTTGTGTATTCCATGCTTGTAATGTTATAAATTCCTGTCCACCAAATATATGTGTATGCTGAAGAATTTCATGATTTTAAATATAAGCTGAAAAATGTCACTGTTCGACTGTTCGTGATTTCACATTCATGAAAGTCCAGTGTAATTGTTAAGCACAGAGCAGCTGCAGAACTACCGTCACTGAAGGGAAACGTAATAAATCAGCTTGAAAGCTTGACTGCATCTGTGTATTTTGTGTGACCCTCCATTTAGAGCGTATTAGCTGTAAATTAGGCTGACTAGCTTCAGGTCTTATTCTTTAGTCAGTGTGTGACGAGTGCTTCTGCATCAGCTACAGGTCGTATATTTGAAGAACGCCTGCAGAACATTTGTTTCCTTGGCAGGATGTCTGCCCGGTACCGATAACTTTATGAGACCCAAAAACGCTTCCTTTTGCAGTTGTTTTCTTTTGGCATGTTGAGAATCTACGATTTCTGTATAGTTATGTGAATTTATGGCATTTAAGGTTGTACTTCTGTTTGACATGAGAGTTTGAGAGTCAAGTTAAAGTTAAGATTCTGAAGTCAGCATCATCCTGTTTCTTTATTCATTTCTTTATTCCTTAATTAAGTTGGCTGTTTTTCTTTATCATTTTAGTATGTTTTAGTAGTATTTTCTTGCCTATTAAAATAATTAAAAATAATATTTTTATAATACTTAATATGTGAATTTATGGCATTTAAGGTTGTACTTCTGTTTGACATGAGAGTTTGAGAGTCAAGTTAAAGTTAAGATTCTGAAGTCAGCATCATCCTGTTTCTTTATTCATTTCTTTATTCCTTAATTAAGTTGGCTGTTTTCTTTATCATTTTAGTATGTTTTAGTAGTATTTTCTTGCCTATTAAAATCATTAAAAATAATATTTTTATAATACTTAAGCAATGCACATATACTCTTCTCTTACTTTATAAGACAAAGCTCCATTCAGTTTGTGAGTGCTGAGAAAAGAATATTGTAAAGACAGACCAGTATATATCTTAAGATGCCATTGTATTGGTTTGTCAGTTGTGTCAGTAATATTAATGTAATGTTGTCACAATTATAAAGGAACATTTTCTGTGTATCTCTGTCAGCCAGCCTACGTCCAAAAGAAAAGGACAGAGCACTATGCTCTTCTACATTTTCTGACATTCCACACAGGATTTGGACCAGCATTTTTCATATTATTGCTAGGGTCCAACTGTGGCTCCATTCATCATCCATCTATATATATCAAAAATGTTTTAATGACTTACGTAAATCTTAAATGTTATTTTAGAATTTGAAAATATATGTATAATTTCACAGTCATAAATTTATATTTGATTTACTAGACAAATATAAATATAAACATTTGCGGCATCAGAACTGTCATTTCATCTTCAATGCCAGAGCGACCGAATTTTGCATAGCTTCAGGCTTTGCTAATTGGGCAATTTGTTTTTGTCTTTCCTGTTCAACTATATCTTTATTCACAAGCTTTAGTTTTTCCTCATTGCTCAGTTACTTCCCATCAACCAGGTGTTTTCATATTTCTTTTTATGTTTTTTATGTTGCAGTCAGCATCTAGACGAGCAGGCACCTGTTGTGCCAACTGCCAGACTGGGACCACTACACTTTGGAGACGTAATGCCAATGGAGAACCCGTCTGTAATGCTTGTGGTCTGTACTACAAACTACACAATGTGAGTAAATGTTTACGTGTCTAGACTTACCGTAACACTTTGTATATACAGACTACACCAAAATGAAGGACATAATCAAATTTCTGCTTACATATATGTTGAATTTCCACTTGTAAGGGGTTTATATATATATTGTTTGCATTGAATAATGATCTAGTTTGCACCTAAAATGGATTCTTTTTACTGTTGAATATAAGCATATTCATTCCATTTTTAAAACACTAAATAGCATAATTATTGTATAAATGGTTTATAGTGTGTATATCTGTGTTTGCGAATTCAGGTGAACCGTCCACTTACTATGAAGAAAGATGGGATCCAGACACGCAATAGAAAAATGTCTGGCAAACCTAAGAAGAGAAGAGGAGAACACTTTCAGCAATTTGACAGTTGTGTGCATGAGAAACCATCCACCTTCAGCCACATGGCTAACATGCCCCACCCCTTCAATATGACCCAACCAATCCAATTACATCCTGCATTCAGTCACAGCAGCTTAGTCACTGCTATAGGCTGAGAGACACTTGTAGAAGACACCATACTTAATGAAAACATTAACTGCATTTTTCAGTTTTAATGTTCAGGTCAAGGACATTTGATTAATGTTTCAGACTTGGGTTCAAATGTTCATTATGCAAATCTCAAAATTCTATTCATTCTTGATTTAAAAGTTGCACTTTATTTTGTGGATTTCCGAAATGTGATTTAAACCAACCCAGAATCCAACTGTAGTACACCAAGAGTTTAATTAATTTGCCAGCTTTTCATTAATAATAAATATCCCCTATTTATTCAAATATAATCACAAGTACAAAAACGTTTATGTCATCTATAGCATTGCACTGTATCTTATGTAACTGTGAAGTACGAAGGAGAAGCCCTGCATTTTAAAAGTCATAATATAAACCAAATATTTAGGACTGTCCCTAAACCATTTGTAATTATATAACTATTTCTTTAATTTATTTTTTCTTTGTTCTTATTTTCAAGCTTTATATATGAACTAGTATCAACATCAATAGTATCAATTCATATTTTCTGTACACACATGCATTTAATACACACTCAAATAAACACGTTTGTTTTACTGTGTACTCATTTTAAATTTTAGTTAATAAATGATTTAAACAGAATTTTTTTATGCAAGTTCTTGCCATACTTGTAAAAACATTATCAAATTGAGATGCTACAAACATATACAAACAATCCAAAAGTGTGGCCTTACACTCCTGTGCGCTTGCAAACACTTATCAGCATGCTGACTGGACACAAACAGTGAGTGAAGAGCAGGCCTCTAGAGAGACAAGAGGAAATGGAGAGATGAGATAAAGATGAAAGAGCAGAGAAAGTCTTCAGGGTTTGTTTTTAGGAGACCTGGAAAAGACCAGCCATCATTACTATCCCCAGTTGTGTCTGGTGCTTAGATTCCAACATGTTACAAAAGTATGTGCAGCTTGCCAATAGCTCAGGCATCTTGTTTGAAATCACTTCCCTAAACTGTAATCAGGAAATTATTGTACATAGTGGATTATTTAAAAGAAATGTAAATCCATATGACTAGGATGGTGCAATACATGACATGACCAGAAGCTATATGGCTTGATTGTATGAACTATAATTCATTACACTAACTGCACCGTAATATAAAACAAGACAAGTGAAGCACATATAAATTATTTTGACAATGTTGCAAGTAAAATAATAAATATGGAGTAGGATATATATAAATGTATTTAAAGTTGCACTGATTTATAGATTATGCATTTTATATACAAAACAAATCTAAAGAAAATATCTCGAAATTAAATGTATAAATACATTTGTTTTATATACTTATCAATTGATCTAATAAATCTTAACCGAAATCTAACTTAAGTAATGGTAAAAAATGTATAGCCTGAATACACTGTAAGTCGCTTTGGATAAAAGCGTCTGCTAAATGCATAAATTATAAATTATTATTATTATAATGATCATCTTCTTAGAGTGTGTTGCAAGGTTTGTATTATTTATTTTCTAGGCCAGAGTAAATACCCATGGGATATGAGATTATATCTCTGATTCTTCAGTTGTATTAGAACACTATCCTGTCCTTCTATATCCAATCAATCAATCAAAATTCAGCATTGCCATCTTAGGAATAAAAAATATTTTAAAATATATTAAAATAGAAAACAGTTATTTAAAATTGTACAATATTTTGATCAAATAAATGCAACCTTGTTTAAAAAAAAAGAGACCTCTTTCAAAAACATCTTAATCTTACCAACCCTAAACTTTTGAACGCTAGTGTATATATAGCATATTTTTACTGTATATATATTTGTTAATAACATATGCATAGTATGTTTGTACAGTCTGACCTAACAAATGTAGCTGTTTGCAAACATTCAGTCCGAAAACTGGGACACAACAGAACCCTCCCATATAACAGGCCAACCCACATTCAACCCCTTTCAGTCTGTCTTTTCTTTTCTTCTCCTAATCTTTCTGTATAGCAGGTAAATTAATTCATCCTCTGTCTCAGAACAATCACTTATTTTAAATGACAAACCAACTGTGAGCGCTCAGTTCCCCTCTCCAGGGACAGTTTGTGTGATGTGAGGTGGTGTATGTGTATTACTGCCATCCTCCTGGAACAGCGTAACAGATCTGCTTACTTCTCTTTCCTTCCTCTCTTTCTCCACTCTTTTATTTTCCCTGTCCTAGTGGTTTTGTCCTAAGAGAAACCTTAGAGGCAGGAAAGTAGGCCGGAGGCAGGAGGGGAGTCTAAATACACTGTTACAAGTTCTCTGGCTCAATAACAGTAAATATACAGACATACTTGTTAAATCAAGAGGTTATAATGATCAAATTATGCCACATATTGGATGTCTGAACTCAATACAGAATATCTTATCTCAATGAACTAAACTAAAACTGCAAATGTTTACATGTCTAATGAAATACATTTTAAACAGAAATTAAGAAATAATATAAAGCCGTGTATTTAAATTTCATATATATATATACACTTAAATGGCATTTCGTAAAATATAATATTAATTTTACTCAAATTTATTTGCAGCAAAATTCAGTCAATAACCAAATTCACAAGCAAAATATTCTAGCAAACCTCTATGGAAAGTTTGTGCCAGAAGATTACAGAAAGAAAGTTTATTTTCTTAAAGAGAAACTCTATAATAAAAAATAATGGTAAATAAACATGATGGACATCAAATAAACATGAAGCCAATGAGAAAGTTAAGTTGAAACGCGTAGACAAAGAGTCATGGATAGAGCTGTATAGAGAAGGAACAATGGCAAAAATGAGAAGAAAAAAAAAAGAGCAGGCCGGCTAAAGATATAAGATAAATTGGCTGACAGGCAAATATTTGTAAAATATGCAGAAAGAAAGAAAGACAAAGAAGGAGAGAGAGAGAGAGAGAGAGAGAGAGAGAGAGAAAGAAAGAAAGAGAGAGAAAGAAAGAAAGAAAAAGAAAAAGGAAGATGATACAGATTTATAGAATCTACTGATATTTTTGAGAAACCAAATCACACACGAGCAAAATCTGGACACACTTTTTGGACAACACAAAGCTAGCTCTTTCAGTGAGCTGCTATTGTGTTTTTATTGTTGTGATTGAATAAACCCAAAGGCATATGGGTATAATAGGAATCACATTGCTACAGTAATCTGAGAGATGTATTGTGTGACAGCTGGGTCATTAGAACCTCAACTGTAATTAGTAAACATATTGAAACCCACACTATTCACCCTACATGTGTACACATGCTACCCTTGGTATATATTATATAGTATATATGTGACCCTGGACCACAAAACCAGACTTAAGTGTCAATTTTTCGAAATTGAGATTTATACAGCATCTGAAAGATGAATAAATAAGCTTTCCATTGATGTATGGTTTGTTAGGATAGGACAATATTTGGCCGAGATACAACTATTTGAAAATCTGGAATCTGAGGGTGCAAAAAAATCTAAATATTGAGAAAATCGCCTTTAAAGTTGTCCAAATGAAGTTCTTAGCAATGCATATTACTAATCAAAAATTAAGTTTTGATATATTTATGGTAGGAAAGTTACAAAATATCTTCATGGAACTAGGATATTAAGTAAAAATATCTTCAATGATTTTTGGCATAAAAGAAAAATTGATAATTTTGACCCATACAATGTATTTTTGGCTATTGCTACAAATATACCCGTGCAACTTAAGACTGGTTTTGTGGTCCAGGGTCACATATGTGCAGAATGCAGATGCAGACGTTGCATACGCGCCAGAATAATATTTAGGTTTTTAGTGTACATTAAATGTGAAAAATGTGTAAGGATGGCAAAGGGGTTTAAATGGAGAGGTTGATAGATATTCTGCTCCATTATTGTAATGTATTGATGTTATCAAACTAATTCAAGCCATTAATGGACCATGGAACCACCATGGTCAAAAGCCTCTATACATCCATAAACACTCTCCACACACTGTTTTATCCTCTTTTTTCCCATCCCACACTTACATTCAGGTAATTGTTTGTTTAGAGACTGTTTCTAATTTAATAGCTGTAATCTAATAGCTGGCTGTTTATCGTTCAAAGATAAGATGGAGGGCCTGCTAATTTTATTAGTCTCTTCAGTAAGGGATTTGGGAGGCTTTTACCGCCCTGCTAATTGGTCCAATGAGTCGGACAGTGGATGAGCGCAACCTGAACTGTTCAAAACAGAATGACCTCTGTTACTTCCTTTCTTACGGTCTAGCAATTCATATTGAAGTGTCTGTCACTTGTGTCGACAAATTGATCAGAAAACATAAAATGACAGTTTGATGCACTCCTAAACAATTGCATGCAAACCTCAAAGGGCAAAGGTCACAATCTTTAGCCTTTAACACGTATTGGTGGCACACGTATAAAACAATGACTTTTGCATCTTCCACATTAGATGGACTCATACTCTTATGTATGAAATGTATTATAATGTATTAAAAAAATTTTTTAAGACTCATATGCATCGGATGATCTAGACAAACACATAGACAGCGCACAAAATACCTGTGTGACAAAGTTAAATTCTTCAGAAGACAGTGACAATCCTGCTGACCTGGAAGAAAAGTGCAGAACAAAGAAAAGGAAAACAAGAGAAAGGGAGGTGTGGGATAAAGGTTGTATAGACATAAAGGCCCAAACAAAGCAAACATAAAGAATAAGTGAGAGAGAACAAAGGGGTGACAGAGATAAAGTGCATTAAAGAAAGGATGGAAAGTGGGATAATGGACTGGAACAAAGCACTCTTTTGAATGAATGTGTTACATGACTGTGTTTTTTGTGGATGTGGACCTATACTATAAGAGTG